ATCTCTCTTTCTAGTCGAATGTGGTCTTGTTGATTTAAAGCTGCCAGCCCCGACCCCACTCCCAAACCCTAAACCCTAAACCCTAAACCCTAAACCCTAAACCCTAAACCCTACCCAGGCGAATGATGAAGGGGTGGTCGTTTTCTGCCATTATCTCTCTTTCTAGTCGAATGTGGTCTTGTTGATTTAAAGCTGCCAGCCCCGACCCCACTCCCAAACCCTAAACCCTAAACCCTAAACCCTAAACCCTAAACCCTAAACCCTAAACCCTAAACCCTAAACCCTAAACCCTCACTGATTTACGTACATACAACGCTTCGCTGCATCACGAAGGCAGATTTCAGAGTTTCGGGTTCAGGGTTTAGGGTTTAGGGTTCAGGGTTTGCTAGGGTTTAGGAATGGACACGAGCAAAGTCAACTAACCCAGAAATGAAAAAAACATAAACAAATAACTTGTAGTAGAGCAAATAAATAAATAAATAAATAAATAAACGCATAAAAAAATAAAAAATAAATTAATAAATTAATAAATAATAAATAATAAATAAATAAAGTAAACAATCAAATAAGGCAGATGAATAAAAAATAAATAAATATGCAAAATCAAATAAGACAAAGTTATTCGCGGATTTATTTTTTTAAAAAAAGAATATGCAAATTAATTTTAAATTAAATTCAAATTAAATTCAAATTAATTTTAATTTAAGTAGTTAAAATGTCCTTGTAAATGTGCGATAAATCCCACTTTAAATGACTTCATAAATATGATTAAAAATGCAATTATAATTTTAATATTAAATGTAGTTGTAAATGCAAATAAAAGTGATTATAAATGGAATTAAAAATATAATTGTAAATGCAGTTATAAGAAAAGAAAATAAATTAAGATGAGAACTTGTGGGAAGGTTAATAATCTTAAAAGAAAACTTTATTTAAAGTGAAAAATAAATTAAAAAAAGGTCACAAATGCAAATAACAGTTAGATAGAAATAAAGTAAATAATAATAAAACTAAATTTCAATAGAAGTAAAATAAAATTAAAGTTAAATGTGATAATTAAAATTTTAATAAAAGTGGAAAACAAATTAAAATAGAATAAAACGAAATGGACAGTTAAAAAAAAATAAAATAAAATAGCCAAAAGAAACAAAGTGCAAATAAAAAGAAACTTCTACATATCAAAAAAGAATAATTAAAAGCAAGTAATAAAAGAAATAATAAAATAAAACAAGCAATTAAATGGAACAGACAATTAAATAAATAATAGAATGAAGAAGAAATAAAAAGAAATAAAACGAATTAGATAAACCTGCACTTGCTGCCCCTGAGGTGTCCGTACACCTGAAATCCACGCCTTATTCTTTCAAAACTTTTTCAAAAAGTTTCTTTTCAAGTGTCTCCTTTTAATACATTTAAAGTCCTTTTCCTTTTTGATTTAAATACATTTTTTATTTTCAAAAAGTACTTTTAAATTAAAAATGAATTTTTTCTTTTTTCTCGTTTTTGGATTTTTTGCAAAAGTATATTTGAGTGTATTGTACACCTGGGGATCTCCGTAATACTTCCCCCTTTTAATTGATTAATTAATTATTTAATTATTAAATTAATTGTTTAATTAATTAATTAATTAATTAATTAATTAATTAAAAGCTGATCATTAATTAATTAATTAGTTATTTAAATAATTAATTATGTTTATATACCAATGCTGTGGGGCCACAACAAAGAGCAACAGAGGAAACGTCCACGGCAGCAGCGGCAGCAGCAGCAGCAACAGCAGCAGCAACAGCAGCTTCTGTTGCGACAGCAGCAAGAGCAGCTGCAGCAGCAGGAACTACTGCAGAGGCAGCTGCAGCACTGGCAGCAGCAGAAGCAGCAGCTGCAGGACTAGGAGAAGCAGCAGCAGCAGCAGTAGCTCCAGCTGCAGAAGCAGCAACTGCAGCAGCAGCAGCAGCAGCAGCTACCAAACTAGCAGCTGCAGCAGTAGAAGCAGTAACAGCTGCGGGTCTTCTGTGCTGCTGTGGGGCCCCTCGCTTATTCCCCGATCAGTTTCTCTGGAGGCCGCCCTCAAGATAGGTCGCTAAAACTAGGGTTTAGGGTGTAGGGTTTAGAGTTTAGGGTTTAGGGTTTAGGGTTTACGAGCTGTGGTTAAAGCTGTAGGGTTTGGAGGAGAGGCCGTGGGGTGGCTCTAAGGAACCCTAGATGAGTGACAGCGAAGGGCCTGGGGTTTAGGGTTTAGGGTTTACGGTGTAGGGTTTAGGGTTTTGGGTCAAGGGTTTTCGGTTTAGGATCTAGGGTTTAGGGTTTAGGATCTAGGGTTTAGGGTTCACAGCCTAGGGATTAGGGTTTGGACTTTGGGGGTTTCAGCGATGTCTGGCCCTTGAAAGCTTCTTTTTTAAAAGCTATAAAAGCTGATGCGCATCACTAAAGACGGTAGCTGCTGTTGTTGCTGCTGCTGCAGCAGCAGCAGCAGCTGCTGCTGCTGCTGCTGCTGCAGGGCAAGTCAGTTGTAGGCCTGTGTGTGTTGGGTTTAGTTGGCCCTCTTTGATTCTGTCTTCCGGAAACAAATAAATTAAATTAATTAATTAATTAATTTAAACAATCTTAGCTGCGCTGCGGCTGAGTTGATGCGACACGCTTAAGCCTGCTGCTGCACGACTGCTGCTGCTGCTGCTGCTGCTGCTGCTTCGCCTGCTTCGATCGAGTGTACGTACAATTCAACTGCAGCACAACAACCCGCACACGAATACGCAAAGTGGCAGCAGCAAACAGCAGCAGCAGCAGCAGTGCTTCTAGCCCTGCAGCAGATCCTCCCGGGGGCCTCTGGCTGCTGCTTTCGGAGGCGTGTTACAGCAGCAGCAGCAGCAGCAGCAGCAGCAACAGCAGCAGCAACAGCGGCTCGACGACGGCCTTGGAGAAGCTCTCGTGGAGCAGTATTGACAGCAGCAAGCAGCAGCCGCCGCCGCCGCAGCAGCAGCAGCAGCAGAGCTGGGCTTTGAGTCGGGAGCCGGATATCGCAGCAGCAGCTGCTGCAGCAAGAGCCGCAGCAGCAGCAGCAGCAACAGCAGCAGCAGCAGCAGAGAGTGTCTGTGGGTCAAAATGTCGCCGTATCAGTACCTCTTCAAGTACATCATCATAGGCGACACAGGTGCGTCTCCCGAAGCCTAAACCCTAAACCCTAAACCCTAA